CACCTACCGCCATGAAAGAAGCGCCGAATAACTCCGTCTGCCATCCATACTCCACTTCCAGAAGCATCATTGCGGAGACGTCAACACAAGCTCCGACTGCCCCAGATAACTTCTAAGCGAACACTAGCAAGATGCCCCACGGCCAAGAATTGTTTGTCCATCTCCTCGCCACCACCACGCTGGCTTAAAGGCCAGATCTCCGAAATATGTGTAAACAAGTTTATGTTCAAACGGTTTACACGCCAAACGTGCTTAGCCCATCCTTGGCCCTGCGGGTAGCCATCTAGTCCACGAAGCTTGGCGGGAAGCAAAAACTCCATCTCGGGTGAAGCACGGCCATCCCAAAGATCGCGATGCCAGTCAGCCTGCCTTCTGTAAACGAACACCATGAAGAGCTTATCCTCGTGACTCCAGAACTTTTTCGTAGCGACGATACTGGAGCCACCTACCGCCATGAAAGAAGCGCCGCATAACTCCGTCTGCCATCCATACTCCACGCATCTCCCGAGCTCAGAGCTAACCTGCCGTAAGCCGTAAGTCGCTTCTGGAAGCCTTTGCAACCTTCGCACAAGTAGCACTGCCTGCACAGCGAGGATCACCGCACACAAACAGGAAGCAGGCACGGCATGGCACGGCAGCGGGAAACTTCGCCACACTCACTTGAGCCGTAGCCATCTGGGATGCAGGTCTCCACGACGCTCGGCAGTGGTGCTGCTCTTGGCGGGCTCTTGGCTCTTGGCTCCGCTGCCCAAGTACACGCATCAATGTACCGCACGGGAAAGCAAGAAAAAGCGCAGTACGCAAACACCAGCTACGGCCTTCGACAAGCCCTGTAAGGACTTCCCGTCAAAAGAAGCTCTGAACCTTAAACTAAAGTATGATCTTGATGCCTTGAACTCTTCTGCCCCGTCAGGCCCCCCTGCTCAATTGCTCGGTACCTGAGCAGCTCAAGCTCCTGGCTATACTAAGGTACGCTTGCAGGAAAGGTTGGGGCTTGAAGTTCACGAGTGCCAATTGGACGCGATGACTTGCCTTAATGTGTAGATGGGATAAAGGAAGGAAGCAAAAGGCTTCTGGTGCATTGGTTGGTGCTTGATACTTAGGGGTTGGTTCAATACTTTCGGTCGGGGCTGTTGAGTTCAGGATGTGGGCAACACATTCGGGGAAGCTCCGATAGTGCTTCGGAGGACTGCGAGGCTTAAGATGTGGGCTTGGGTGAGGCATATAAAATCATATAAACCTCAACTTATCGCCGGCACGCAAGACGACGAAACCGGTTGTCATGCGTGCTAACCCAATGGTTCAAGACGCAGCTCTTCGCCAACAAGAAGGCCGGACACGGGAGCACCATTTGTCAGTCACGTTCATATGGACTTTTGCACCCAGCTTTCGATGCTAAATTTGCGAGTTCACGAACGTGTGTAGAAGGCAATTAGATGGAAGTTATCCGTACAACATTTTAAGTTTTATAGCCTCGCATGCTTTGCAGTCAGCTTGCGGTGCGCGCTGTATCTCTCCAATTGGCACATCGCGATAGGGTTCCAGCTGTGCAGAGCTAGGCAGAAGTCGTACCGGAAATTGCTAGATAACTCCGGCGGCAGTACGGTAGTACAGCTACTGCAAAATGGCAATGCATGCTCTTCCGGTGGTCCTCCTGCTCTCGCATGGTCTCAATCATCTCGTCTCGCAGGTCCTGATTCACTTGCTGCTTGAAAAATTCCCTCAACAGCCATGGTCGATAGTCGTCCTGGCGATCGTTGTGGTCGTCGTCGTAGGCGTAACGACAGCAGCAGCGGCAGTTGCTGCCGCACTAAGCAGTTCATGGCATCAGTAGTTGCACTAGTAGTCGTCGTCATTCTCGCCGTCGTCGTCGCAGTCGTAGTATTAGAAGTAGGAGCAGGAGCAGGAACAGCAGTAGCACTAGCGATAGCAGTGGAAGCAGCAGTAGAACAAGTGTTAATAGTAGTAGTAGTAGTAG